TAATAGATTATAATTAAATATTTAAGATGAATCTTAATTGATAATTTATGAAGAAAGAATATAAAAATTAGATGCTTTCTATTACCATTGAAAATCTTATCAATTTCATTATATCGAAGGTTAAATTGAAACTCAAGATTAATTTGTCGAATTTAATTTTCAATATACTATATTATACAATATTGAACTTATTAATTGTATCACAACTTTTCAAGGATAAACTTTTTTATAATCTTGCTCCATTCTTATTTTTGAAAATTAGTAATCTAATAATCGCATAAGGTTCATAACGTTACAATAGGTAATATTGCTAAGAATAGAACCAGGAATGAAAAATTGAATAATTCATTGATATAAAGTAAAAGAGGATTGTTGTCCATAAATATAGAAACAATTTAAATTTAAAGGATTCCAATTAGATTTTTTCTAATTATTTAATTAGATTATAGCAAAGGAAGCAAGAGTAATTGCAATATATTAAAAATATAATTCTTTCCTTCTTGTTGTTTCAACTCCAATAACAAAAACTATATTTCCTTAATCTTTTTATCAAATAGTTCAATAAATTCTTTCTATTAATCTTCTTACCATATATTTTACTTCGAATAGTATTCAGAATTTACAGCCTATTATCTGATCATTTATTCTTGTGTTTTCTACTAAGTATTAGAGATTACTATCTCTTTAGATTTTTACTTAAAAATTTATTTTAAATTTAATTTCTCAAAAATCAGTAATTCAATTTTTTTATCAGAGTTAAAAATAAGCTATCAAAAATAATTATGGCTTAATTAAAATTAATTTTCAAAAACTAAACATAATTAACGCAACATTTGATTACTTTAATTTTATAGATAGGTTATTTGTTAAAAGTTTTCGGCTAATAAGATTACTGGAGATGATTTAGATTAATTCTTTGGAATAAAGGCCTAAAGAATAATAACGGACTTAAATTTATATAGCTACCCTTTCTTAGGTTTTCATATCTTATACATATGGAATCATAGCAAGTATAAATATAAAAAAATTAGAACATCGACTTTTTAAATTAAGAATTCTTAATTATAAAATAACTTTAGTAGTTTAGAAATAACATTCCTCTATTTAGTGGAGCTTCCTAATTGATTTAAATTTATCGAATTTAAATTGTATTATTAAAAATTTAAGTAAATTTACTAATGAAGCAGATGATTCCTATTTTATAATCCATTATATTTCTTTAAATTTATTAATTTAGGATAAATATTTTGAAAATCTAGGTTCAACATAATTTTTATTTGTAAAATTTTTAAATTCTTAATCATTATCCTTAAATAAAAGGGGACCATTTATACGTAAAATTAGGAATTAAGTAGCAACAATTCATAATACCAGTGTTATAATTAAAGATATCGTAACTATGAAAACTTAATTATTGACTTTACCATCAATTCCAAGAATATCAAAGTACTGTTATTTTAATGAGATTATAGATACTCTAGAATTAACTATTTTCAATACACAATGAGAGATGAGAGTTTCGATATTGAGTATAGATGGTATTAGGAATTGATCATGTTATTATGATTTTTCTAATTAAGTGAACAAACTTATACTATACTAAAATAGAGAGAGTGTAGGATTTGAAATTGATGATTCTCATTTTTAATCCTCAAGCTTCATCAGATTTGTATTTAGAGCTCAGATTTGCTTGTACATTTCGAATATTTTAATGTTTTATGGTCCTCTTCGCTCTTGTATATTTCATCTTCAAGTTCCTTAAATCTGTTTTCCAGACATTTAAGTAGCATTTTGTACTCGGTACTCTTCTCTCGTTCTATCCATATTTCACTCCTCTAAGTAATAGAGAAAATCTTTCCCATTCTAGCATCCAAAGAAAGTTCATTTATAGTAGGTGTTGCATACATACTTTATAATAGATAAATATTATACATCCGAAAGAATAGCTAATATCCATCTCCTTTAATTTGACTATCAAAAAGTTTCTCCTTGACCTAATCATTTTTTTCTATGTTTTTTATCTATTAAAACATAAAAGTATCTTTTAAAATTCTTGGGTACAATAAAAATTATGAGTTATATGCTAGAATTTGCTCTTTTACATTTGAAATTGGTGAAGCTTATGATTCTTAAATAATTAAAATACTTAATAGTTGTAATAGAGGTCGATTTCCTCACAACCCATCTTATTAAAAAGAATATGTTGATATTATGCGTATCATATGATATATATAATCTAAAATGAATAGATATGAGCTTCATCTGATCCTTATCAATGGGGATTATGTAAGGATTCCGATAATTCCATTTGATGATTATCATTGCTATTTCAAGTTTAACTATGAGCTGAAGACTAATATCAGTCAAAGGTATTTTAAGCGCTACAACTTTAAATTGTTGAGAATGCAATCATGCTTTTTGAGAAAACTTAAATCTGATTCTTTTACTTTCTTTGCTGTGTTATAAACACTTACGAATTATTACCAGAGTGTATTATTTGTTATGATTTTACGATTATAGATTCTAGGTGATTTATATGCAATTTAAATAACTACCAATCCCTTTAGATTTATGGCATATTCTCTTAATTGTCAACAAGTCAAAATATTTGAAATTTAATTATTATATTTTAATATGATATTGGTTTTAGTTATGCTTTTATTTTACTCTGGAGCAAATGTCTGGAGTTAACTTCTATTATATATCAATAAGAATTGAAAGATTGTCTTAGTCAATGATCTATACTAATAGCTGAGTTATTTATATTTCTGGTGTGATTCAGTTTAAAGTAAACCAAAATGAAACTTAGCTATATCTATAGAGAACACTCAATAGAAAGTTATCTGGAAATTTTTAAAATCTTTTCAAAGGAATTAGATGCAATCATATTTATTACAGGAAACCGATGCTTAAATTTTAAGGATTCTATTTGTTAAATATCTTATTTTATCTTTTGTAGCAATTAAACAATCTTTAGAATATAATCGAATGAAGATTTAATAAATTGTTTTATTGCTTTTTATCAACGGATTTTTCAGTCATCTTTATTTTTTTCTCATTCTACCCGAATCTAAGTTAGATCTATGAAAGCAGAAAATTAAATGGAATTGAACAATAATCCACTATAGTTTGTGAAGCTACACTTTGTTTTGATTTCTTCATCCATAAAGACTTAAAGATTATATCATGTAGAGATTCGTCACATTAGTTTTCACATTATGAGACAAAACGTTTAAAAAGATAATAAAATCATGCAATATTTTTATACCATCCGCTTGATATGAGTCTTAACAAAATAAGTTTACTGTTTATGGTCAATTCAAGTATATCACTATTAGCATCAACACTTAAAATATAAATTCAACAGTTCAAAAAACATTATTAGACTATGGTCATTTTCATTATTGGTTATACATTTATAAGTTCTCATCTAAAATAGTTTACTCACTTTTCATAGAATATGATGCACTTTCATTTTTTTTTTCTAATTCAAATTTTAATTTTTTTTTTTATGAATAGTTCATTCCCTTCTGATGTTTATGTTGCCAAGAACTTTTTGACATTACGTTGTGCTTTCAACTTTTGGATGGGAATTATAGTGTTTAATCATCTTAGAACTCTTAAATTTTCAATTTTATGCCAATAGATTATTGTTTATTTCATAATCCCATCCACTTCAGAGCTAATGAATCAGAAATCTTTTAGCTTTTTTTCCAATTCATCTCTTCTCTTTTAGATTTATTGTACTTTTTATTTGACTTTACTAATATATCCACATTTTTTTTCATACTTTGAATTATTAACCTCTATCTGATAGCGTTAGAAAATATGAATGACCCTTTTATTTTCAAATAACAGCACCTAAGTCTTTTCTATCCTTTCAACTGCACAATCAATAAATATGTATCCTTGACTGATTCAAGAAATGATAGCAGATCTACCTCTTCACCAAATAATATATGTTTTATATCCAAAAATAATACTACATTCCTTTATTTGATTCTCAGAGTACTTATCACAAAATTTAGAGTTTAAAAAAAGTTAAATTATATTTAACTAATTATTATTCCTTTTCTATGTCAAGTAATTCATAATATTTACATTCTAAATGGATTTTAGAAAAGCTTAGTCTTTCAAATAATAATAAAATTTCATGATACACTTAGAAAATTTAATTATGGAGGAAGATTTTCTTTTTATTTATGTTGTTTGAACTAATAATAATAAAATCAATTATTGGTTTAAAAATAAACGTAATTATTTTAAATAAAATAAATAATTAATATCTAGAAATATTTAGTCTAGTTGGAGAATCAGCTTTTCCAATATTTGAAAGAAATTTATAATCGAAAATTGTTATAATAAGATTCATTCTCTAATTCTATAAATAAAATGTCACATTTTTGTAACACTACCAAAATATTTTAATATAATAAAATTCATTAATCATAAATTTTTAATAAATATCAAGAATCAACCAAAATTTTTAATGGATGCGGCATAATATTGTGGATTAGCAAATTATGGGTTATTAATATTAGTTTAGTGTAGTGTTTAATTGCCTTTTCATACCACTCATTATTGATTTAAAAAATAAAAGTAAGTTAATACTAGTGACCTTCTCTATCCCATATATCCCATAAGACAGTTATTTTACCTGAGCCTGCTTTTTCAGCCTTTCCTACTACAGCAATGTCAATAATTTAAAACTTATATCTAATATTTGTATCAGGATAGTTTAATCAAGGGAAATACCTACTAGCCTTAATGACTAAAAACAAGGATTGCCTAACTTAACTTAGCCATTCCTAAATTTGTATTTAGATCTAATTACTATTTAATTTCTTCATTTTAATTATGGTATTGAATGTTTTAAGTTTTGAGTCTTATAGTGGAAATGATGATAAGAATACATAATCAAAATATATAATTCATATTTAATCTCATCGTCCCAAACTAGATAAAGGTAATGGATTTTTTGGTTCTAATGATATAGCTTCATCATATTTTTTATGGCGTTATTTACCTCTATTAGAATGAGCATAATTATATTATGATTTAATTTAAATTGTTCTTGAATATTCATTTAAAGCTTATTCATATTGTTTTTATTTCTAATCTACATTACCTATTTAATTTGTTATCAACTTATATCTTAATTATTATAGGCTTTTACAATATCTGATTTTATTAAAGAGTTTTTGAAAAATCATTAAGTGCATCTTAATGCTTTTTAAATTCCTGGTTAATTAGTCCTAATTTGTAAAAATAAGCTAATTATTTCTATTACAATATGCACCAGCATGATTTTGGTTAATCTTAATTGTAATATAATAGTCTTCAATCACATTAGTATATTGTTTTAATTATTGTTTAATAATGCCTTAAAATATTAAATGCCTCTATTTTAATATATTTCAGCTAGGGATTTTTTTATTTCTTAAATGGCTTCATTAAATTACATTAAACGACTGTAAGCATTTCTTAATTTATAATAAACTTCAGCATAATGTGAATTAATTTACATGCCATTTGTTTAATCCTTTATTGTTTCATCATATTTTTTATTTCCTTATTAAAAATGCCCTTTATATATAATTAATCTGACTTTTTTTAAAAAATTTTTCAGCTGATTATTGGTTAATCTGAATTTAAATTCTTCAATGTTTAATAAAGGTTAAACGATTTAAAATAAACATTAATCTAAGAATTCATTGCATCATTTATTTTATCAGTAAACTCTACAAGAATTATATACTAAATTAGACAATCTTCTACCCATAAATTTCTAAATCTTTCTTCCCCTTTTAGATCCAAATTAACATTGTTTGAACAATACCTAAAAATAATATATATTATACAGTAATGAATCTTTTAAAATGTTGTAAAGTAAATTGTTCCTGTACAGTTTTATTTACTCTATATTGGGAATTCTAAAATATAAATGTGACATAATTTTATAAAAAGTTTTTATCATTAAACTTTATTTCAACATTTCCTTCTTTTACATCATTAAAAAAATTAAATTGATTTTCACTTTGATTCATAGACTTCCATGATACCTAAAATTTATTTGATTCTAATAATTTTAATATGAGTAATTATGTGTTATCTATTATGAAAAATCTTCTTAAAGGAAGACTAACTATTATCATTAACAATAATGTTAAATTCTTCATAAATTCATAATTTTTTAATAAATTATATTAATAAACATAAGCAAGTTTATATCATATTCTATCAGTATTTTATAAAAATTTAGTTTCTTAAATGAAGCTGCTACTCTGATTATTTTTAATTCTCTATTTTCTAGACTGTTCTAAACTTTTCTGGAGTAATTTTTTGAAATAGAATTGAGAAGATTAAACTATTAGTACAGGAAAAATTAGCTAAAGAAAACCTTGAAAAAATAACATGAGATTATGATGAAAAATAGGAAAATTTTATCTCATTATTAATATGTAATGAGATCTCATAGATGCCAGGCCTAAGATCAATTCCATTATAAAACTATTCTATAAAGTTCTAAACAAAGTCAGCTTTTTCCAAAATATGTTTTTCAGGCTGCAATCATGCTTGTGATCCCAAAAATTTATCAGGCTTCTAAGGGGATAACATGATTTGGAGTAGATTTTGTAAACTTTACAAAGTAAAACATATTTGAGTATGTTATCACAAGTGATAATCAGATTGATTATAGAGATTATATCTAAAAAGACAATTATGAACAATTGCTAAATTTCCAACATCTCTTGTTGAATAATATGCATTTAAATTTAAATGAGAGATCAATTTAGCCCAAAGCTGCAAAAATCCATTAGTGATTTAACTACAAGCCAAATATGAATTTTAAGTGCAATAGAGGAATCTTAATTTCTTAGTTCTATCAACTTATTTAGATTTTTTTTTTTAATCATAGACGTAAGTTCCAAAAAATCTAATTTTTTAAACTCATAGGATATAGAATGATTAATATTGTAATACTTATATATTTCTAAGCTTCTTTAAAGGATTTTTAAGATATGTAAAATTAAATCAATAGTGTTAAGGAAGGTATTTTTGAAAAGTCATATTTATTTAGAGAAATTAAAATTTTAAATGAAATTTGTAATCAATTAAAATATCAATAGATTCAAACATGAACGAAACTATTATCATTTTTAATAGAAATACTTAAAATATAGTAGAGTTATTAGGAGCAAATTTTATGAACGCTATTTCAAACTTAATATTCTATTTTATGTAGTTCAAAAATTGATTCTGGGAATCATTATTTTAATAATTACAAGGAAATAAAGAAAGCAAAATCTAATTGGAAATTCTTGTGAAGGAACACTAATAAAATTAATGAAATTTTGTGATATACCTGTTGTTTTGACCATGAAAGGAGTCATCAACCCTCAATATTTTAGAAATTAGACTTACTTATATAAAAATTTTGGGACAAAGTGATCTTTAACAGTTTCTACTAAACATTCAAAGACATAAAACCCAGAATTACTAATAGCTTCTCTAGAACTGTAAGATTTTTTCGATAATGATTAACTTTTAACCTTTTCTTATCTACCTGTATCTGCCAACTTTGATATTTTAGTTCATATAGATAATTGGAGAATTCTGGCTAAAAAGGCTTATAATTGTTTAAAAAATTCAAAACATTTTTCATTATTTTAACGAGTCTAAAGATTGGAATATTTTACTACGAAGTAGAGATTAATTTATGCCAAAATACACGCCTCGAAAAAATTTGCACTCAACTACTAGCTTGGCTTTCTAATTGGAGAATCTTTTAGCAATATTTAATAATTTAGGAGTCAAATTATTGTTTATAGGAATAAGCTGCTTTTTATTATTCCTTTTTTTCCAAAGCCTTCTCACAAAGATTTATTATTTTAAGAATTATTGAGTAAAATTTAAGCCAATATTCAGATCATAAATATGTTTTTCTCGCACAAGAAAAAATTAATTATTAAGCTTGCAAGTAGAAAAAGAATTGTTGGCATATATCATTTTATTTTTTGTATGGTAAGAAGGTAAGATTGTCTCATAAGATTTTGAAATCTTTATGAGTGTTAAAGTTGGCTTATCTTTAGCCTTGAGGATATATTAAATAATTTAGAGGACCTGTAATTTAATATCAAGGATAGATGAATATATATACTGCTCGATAATTTTTAGTTACAAAAAACTTTACTTTTATAGAATTCAGTAAAGAAAATATATTCTTTTTTTATAGCAATAAAAATCCATTGTTTATAAATTTTCTTTATAAATAATATAAGTAGTAATTACCTAAAGATGGAACTTTTGAAATAGAAAGGGCATTTATTTCTTTAAATTTTTTGCCGAAGAGAGAACTTAGCGTCCTTAGAATGTATAGATGAAATTAGGAACTTAATAATGATCTAATATTCTTTTAATTGTTAAAAATTGGAATCATTACTCAATATTCTTGAAGAGTCAAAGCTTGTTTTCCAAATACCGATTCTAAGAAGGCTGAAACGTTCTAATAAGCAAGGTTAAGCCCATGAAAAAGATCATTTGCAGAAGCAAGGAAAATAAAGAGCAACTTCTCAGTAATTATTAAGCTTCTAAATCAATACTTTAGACAGTAAAACTTGTTTTAGTTTATATCTACGGCAAAGTAACACCATTAATAATGAAGGAAGAAAAAATGAATAGATTTTACAACCCTGTTCTGTTCTATCATGAAGTTTAAAAAAAGGGGATAATATCAATGAGGTAATACAAGTACAGAATCTGAAAGTTAAGGCAATTCATATAAAATAATTAGAACTTAAAGTTATTAATAATTGAGATAAAATAAGATATAGTATAGGTTATAATCTTTTGAAGAATTACCTAAAGTAAGGTGAGGGATCAGCAAAAGGAAAGATTAAAATCGTAATAAAATTTATTGTTGAGAACTTCGGAATTGAGTTGAATTAAACAGTGCAATTGGAATCTTACAGGATTGATATAAGATTTTTCAATCAAACCCACAAAAAATTGTTAATTATCCGATGACATTTTCAACTACTCAAAATTTCTCCTCTCCATTCCTGTTATAACATTAACTCGGTTGATTAAACTAATCATAGTATTATTGTTTGCTCTATAATGATATCCATCTATTACTGTAAGAAGATGGTGGATAATTGCCTTACCCATCTAATCTTTTAAGTAGAATTATTTTGTGTTTATGTTAATTTTCATAATTTCTTAAGTATCATGTTTTTCTAAAATGCTGGTCATTCAATTTTTCGATCAGTAAACTGATAAGTTATTTGTAATTTTTTTCAAACTCCTCCCCCAGACAAATAAATTCTTAAATGACTAGCCAAAATTCCTTTTCTTTTTTTTTCTGTATATAAATTACTTTTATATGTTACCTCTTTATTTGATAAATATGTTCAACTAATTTAAATTCTCATTAAATCTTTGATATATACATTTATTGAACAACCCAGCCTCTATGATTTTTTTTTCGCTTTCTCTACTTTCCTTTATTTTGTTTCCTTCCAAACTCATTTCCTGAAACATCAAGATAATTCAGGGGATATGCATTCTTATATTATCTATTGTATTTCTATTAAAATTTCAACCAATTCTGACCGTTGGTATATAGAGATTTACAATTTGCATTATTAAATAGTGTTACTTGTAATTAAAGCCTTTCTAGATTTATATATTCAAAAAAAAAATAAATCCTTCAATAGCAATTCTTGCCCTTCGTCTTAGAGATATAAAGAATAATAAAAGACGATCACTTTTAATTTTAATTAACAAGTTCTTTGCCTATTCTAAGTTTCTACATTTTCTCTAAATTATTGAGCAGGTTAAGTAATTGCTTTAACACCTGGGATTTTGAGCTGTAATTTGAATAATAATAGCTCCTCACAATTACTTTCTTCATTATAAATAAATTTTTCAGAAAGTAAAGTCAAACATTTTTCATTTAATAAGGTCCTAGAATTATATTAAAATCCCATATCTATTTTTAGTAATTTTATTTTATTTATTTAATTAGAAATGCTTAAGTCAGTTAAAAATTTATCATCTTACAAGCTAATACTATAGCTAATACTATGGAATCCAATTTTATCATTAAATAAAAAATTATTCATAAAAGATTACTTACCATCACCTTCTATATTCTTTACCTCTAACATACTATCTTATCTTAGCTAAAATTCAAATTAAAAATCTCTAAAAAAATTTTCAATTTCTTCCTTATTTTTTAAATCCAAAAAAGAAAGTTTTAATTATTTCAGATTTTTAAGTATTGAAAATATGAAATTTAAAAATTTAGCATCAACTTTTATTTACCCAAAAAGATAAAGCTCTTCTAAATAGGATATCAAATTTTGATTTTAAATTTTATTTTCAATCAATTTTTCTAAAACTATGTTCAAATATTTTGTTTTGCAGACATCACGTATTTCTAATATTTTTAATTTGCAGTTGAATTGAATTAGTTATTCTAAAATTTAAGAATGAATCTATATTTAATCTTCTCTATCTTAGATATAAATAATATAATGTTCTAAAGGAATACTTTATTAATTGAACAAAAGTTCTGAAAAAAAAGCAGGTGAGAAAAAAAGGCCATAGCCCAATTTTAGCACTTTTATTGGTAGAACACTTCCTAAAATTACTTTTTCAAAAAATGAAAAAGTTTCATCTCCAGTTAATGTTTCTTCAAGTTCCAACTTCAAAGTCTCCAAAACATAATCATATCTATTGGGCAATTAATTCAAAATCTATGAAATAATTCCATGCTTATTCATTATAAATCCAGATAATTCTAGATAATTTAATTAAACATGAGTTGAACAAATAAATGTTTTTACAAATAATTTAATATCATTTTCTGTTGTTGGTGTTATTGATTTAAAATTAAAATTTATTTTTTTAATTTTACTTTTAAATTCTCTTACATCATTTTTATAACAATTATTTTCTAGTATTTGTCGAAATTACTGAGCTTTTTATACATTAGACATAAACATACTGAGATCAATTTTTTCAAATTTGATACTCTCAACTTAACTCTCGGCATTAATTATTAAACCAACAATAATATGATAATATAGTTTATCCTTTTTATCCTATAAACAATTAAAATCAAAATTTAACGCAACATGCAATAAATTTTTAGGAAATGCTGGTCTAAATAATTCAAAATTATTGATAATTTTTTCTTTAACTTAAAGTTCATTTTTATAAACATATTCAGCATTAGAAATAATCATTTTTTCAATTTTATTTTCTTTTTATTATATATCTTAATCCTCTAAAGGTTTGTCTTCTTTTTGATGATTTAGAGCATTTTTAGAATTGAGTTCATCTTCATTTTTTTCATGATCACTTTGTATGATTACTGAAAGATTGTTCTTTAAATTTTGATTATCATTGTTAATTTATTCTAGTTTTATTTGAGCCTTTTATTCCATCAACTTATTAAAAAAATCTATCCGTGCTGCTTCACTAATATTTTAGTTATCTTTAAGGCTAATAGATCTCAAATTATAATATCGTCTAAATGATGTTGCGATACTCTTAATTCTCTTGATTTAATTAGATAAAACATTCAATAAATTATCAGTCAAATTACGATTGTTTAAAGATAAATGCTTGACTTATTATCTTTCTTTATTAAAAACTATTTCATCTAAAAACCATTAAAATTTATATTCTTCTAAATTAATTTTCTCAAATACAAAGGTTTCGATTGAAACCAGATTGAATTACAGATAATTAGGATTTTTTTTAAATAATTCTTATGTATCCTAAATAGATTTATTTAATCCCTTACATGATTTAAATGTCATTTCATTAATAGTACAGAGAATTAAAAAAGGAATTAGTATATCTTTTTCAGTTTTACATCCAATAAAGGTTAATTTTTTCAAATCAAATTTCCCCTTAAGAATTTATTCCTACTATTTCTCATTTTATTGAAATTCATATTGTAATACTAATTTTTAGGTAACCTAAACTTGCTCTAAATTTTCTTTTATTTTTTAATCAATTAAAGATTTAGTTGCTTCATTTAAAGCTTTTATGAAATTCTCATCAAGGTTAATCTTCTCTAAAACAAATTCTTCTATTTTTATTTAAGTATTAAAAATTATCTCTTGTAAAATAATAGACCATGGTTTTTGAGAAGTAATCGTAATATCTTTTAGATATAAATATTTTAAATTTTTATGAGGCAAATTTTGTTGTTTATCATCATTTATTGATTGTTGTAAGGGATGTTAATTTAAAATATCCTTTTCATTGTTTTGTTATTGATTTTAGTTAATAATTTATTATTCTTATAAAATCTAAGTAATTTATTCATTAAGCATATCAAATTTAAAGTTTCCTAAACTCAATTTCTCTATTCTCTAATACTTTGAAAAAATAAAATATTTAGTGAAATTAATTTGAGCAAAATCTTCATCCATTTCTTCTAATTTCAATTCTTTAATTGAGAATTTAAATTATTCTCGATCTTTGCCATCAAGAATTTATTCAAAAGTTTATTTATATTCATCCTTTTATTCAAATTGCACTTTTTGTAAAACTAACTTTTTCAATCGAATTTCATGATATACAAATATTTCTAAGAATTAAAATAACTCAAAAGATAGATCTTTTATATCAATAAATTATAGTGAATTTAAGCTATGAATAAAGCTAGAAGGTTATTTATTGAGATAAGCGATTGTGGCATCTTTATATTCTGAAAAGGTATTACTCATGCTCTCTTTTTCTACAATAAATTCTTCTAATTTGAAATTATCAGCTAAAATTAAGCACTTAAATATTTTTAAGTCAACTTTGCAATTCGTACCTTGAAATTTTACTTTTTTATTGTGTATTAACCATTTCTCATTGATTCATCTTCACTTTCTATTTTTTTATATATTTCATCACAAGTCTCTATAATTCCCTCCTCTCTTCCATTCTATCTGAAGCAACTTATCATTTCAAAATTTTCTATTTCTAAAATGTCACCTTTTTTCGTAAAAAAAAATTCATAAAAAAACCTTTTAATATTATAAGGTTCCATTCTATAAGTTTATTTTGGCATAATCATAGTTTTTAATGGTAATTTATAATTCTAAAGTAATGGATTTTTTAATTATTCATTTTTGATTCGTTCCTTAAATGCTCTAAAAGTTTTTATCCAACTCTCTAATCTACTTTTTTCACAATCTTAGATGCCTATAAAAACATATTAAAAATAAGTAATACATAATTATTTAATATTTGTGTGCTCAGTAAATATTACACTTTCAAGAAACTTTTCGACTACATCGTCTCTAGTAAAGCTTTCAACTGATGATAAATCTAATTACTTTAAGTTATGTTTGATTAATTTTTTATCTAGCATAAGGAATATAATTTACTTTTTATACTTTGTTCCTTTAAATAATCAGTTCTAGTTTTGACTGCTTCTGCGAAAACATTCAATTTAAATATTGAAGAATTAAATTTTAAGATACCATCAATAATAACCTCTTTACAATGCAAAAATATTTCATTAGACAAAATCTCTAAAATCTTCTCCTTAATTATATCAACTTCTCTAATATATTATTATATTATTGATATATCAAATACATTGACTTTTAATTTATCATATCTATCTCCAACTAAAGAAGTTACTGAAGTTGAGTATTCTAATAATTTTTAGTTTCTAAATTTTAATTCAAGCAAACCTTTTGCAGTTGAAAGGTGTTGACATGTCTATTAAAAACTATTGATAGTTCCAAGATAATTATCTGACGCATTTAACCCACAAATTTATTCCAAATTGTCTAAATCGTATGTTAATTAAATTAAATGTTCAAAACCTTAATAATTCTTTTCGGTAAAACAATTCTGTAAATCAAAATAATAAAAGCAGGTTTAATCAATTTTATCCCGCGCCTAGTGGATTATACTATTTTTTTCTTAGTTTGACCACTATTTTTCTAGTTTTATAATTGCAATGGATTTTGAATCTTTATTCAACAACAATTAATATTCATAATATTCATTTTTTTCTTTTAAATATACTTTAAGTTATTTTAATAATTGCTCTTTGTAAATCCCAGGATTACTGATTATATAGAGCTAAATAAGATAATATAAATACTCTCTTCAAATCAATTTCTCTTTCAAAGAAGTAGTATATAAATTCCTCAAAATCTTCATTGTCTATTTCATTTTGCTAAAATTAAAGAGTCAACTTCTTTGGTTAAAGCCAAGAAAGCCATTACCTCAATATAATTAAATGTTCTTTATCCATTTATGTGTCTACTATTCTTAACTCTCTTAAAGGAAATAAAATTCTTAATTTTCTTTCTATCATGATTAAATGTTCTATTTTAAAAGTACCTTTAAATCCTTTGAATCCTAATTTCCGATCCCATACATTTTTCTTTAACATTAACTAAGATATGATTTCAATTATATATACAAAAAAATCATCTAATTAACTGAATTGTTTTTATAGGTTCAAATACCAATTGTCCTTTTATTTTTCTAAAGTCTAATCTTTTGTCTTTTTAAACATGAATTGATATTCTTTTCCTCAAACCTTCAACCCTATATGCATTAAGAGCATCTTGGTTAATTAAATTGAGCATAAATTAATAATCAATTAGAAAAATAAGTATAAATAAACTAATAAAGTGTAATTGTCTGGTATTATTTTTTCTTACAAAGTTTTCAAATGATTATTTTGACAGAATAGTTTTGAAAACAATTCATTAATTTAATTTATAGGTAAATTTTGAAGCGGACTAACAGTTAGCAATTCTCGAGATCAAGAATTACTCCAAATATCCTTAGAATAATTATTTCTAAATTCAATTATAATTGACATAATACCCTAAATTAACAATATTTTTAAGATGATTTATAAATTTTTTGTAACTTTTTGAATTCATTATATTTAAGATTAAAGTATGATATTTTTTACAATTAATTTTTTTAGTATATAGCAGGGTTTAAATCTAATTCAAAATATTAATCTGCTGAAATATTTAAAATTAAATGAGAAATGTTTGTCACTACTTAATTTTTAGTTTATTAATAAAATATTTCCAAAATATGCATTTTGAAGTATTATTTAAACTATTCTATAAATTATATATCAATATATTTTTGCTAAAGAAATTAGGGGAGAAAAATTAAAAATAGCATCAAATTAACAATAAACTGATATCTTGTAGTTTTCCAGTCCTTTTTACTATGATAATTTTTATTTAATCTTAAAGTAATCAGTTTTCATCACATTTATGATGTCTTTTTAGAATTCTGGTTTAAATAAAATATAAATAATATCATAAAATATTTATTTTTTATAAAATATAATTAAATATAAAAATATTATCAAATTTATAAAATAAATCAACTTTATAATTATTAAGTTTAGTATTATAAATAATATCATATATTATAA